ACATCTCATTTGATTAAACTAAAAACAGTATAAATGTTCATATAAAAACTGTACAAGAGATATAGGTGATAATGATAATGAAAAGCTCTGAATTATAGTTATTTATCTACTAAAAAACTGGCTTTATTAGTCTTGACTTAAGATAAATCATATAATTGGCTTTAACCCTTATTCTCGGGTGTTTTTACTTCATTTTAATTTTAAATAAAATGTTCAAATTGGCAATTTTCTTATACAATGTGCTCTAAAATGCAAACTATTCGGTCCGTTACATTGATTTCATTTACAAACAAACATTGGTAATTGTAAGTTAAATGTATTAGAATTCAGAAAATAAAACCAAAATAACTGTTGATTCTTGAATTAAAAAACACTTACTATGCATTGAGAACCACTTGTTCTTGTCGAATATTACTACCTTTACCAATAAAGCTCGCATCAGTAACAAAATCAATCATGAATTCAGTATATATTTTTGCTCAGAAAATCTTCGTCTCAATAAGGTATACAGGCAAAGTTACTAGAAAAATGTCTGGAAATCAGTATTCAGATAGTACTCAAAACAATTGATTAAACTTATGCATAATTAAGTGACAACGGGATATACTTTTGAAAACACTTAAAATAAGACAGTGGATTTCAACTTAAATTTAATATTTTTATCCTTTTTTATTTTCACAATGGACTTCCATGAATTTCCATTCATTGAAATAGGAAACACTGCATAAAATAACAGAAACTAATATAAGTAATTAATCCATTTCTGGAGAAAGTAAATTAGTGAAACCGGGATCCCACAATAATTCCGTCAATTCCATAATAGTAAAAAAAACTTGTTAATTAAGAAAATTGCAAACGCCCTTCGCATATAAGTTGTCATGGCGCCAAAAAACCCAAATTTTCGTAGAAGTTGCACCAATATACAAATTGTATTTATTCAGTAGAAATCTAAAGAATGAGGGGGTTTTTAGTAATAGATAACAAATTAGTTTTACGAATTCCTCTATCCTGAAAATCTTCAGTGAGACTTATTTTGAAGACTTCTTGAGAATTTCAAAATAGAAACAACTATGAATAAAAATTTCAACCGACTTTCAAATTTTTATCCTGATGTTATTTTGCTATTTTATTCACACTTAATTATCTTTGGTCTTCCAACTGTATCCCATTATCTGACTAAAACCCTTCATCACCTTGTAATTAAATAATTCTACTCTGATTCAATCAAACTGGTGAACATTTGGGAAAGCATCAAGAATGCTGAATGTTTATCGGTTTTTTTAAAAACTTTCTAATATATTTCAACATTTGATAAGTCAGATTAGAACGACCATATGTGGTCTCATAAATACAGGTCTTTAAAATTAAATGAGACCGTCATTGATGGATTTTCGAAACTTTCCACTCGCTTACGTGGTTAAAGTAACAATTGGATTCTTCTGACACGATTTTCTGCAATAAGCCTTGTAACAATAATTTGATACAACTGACATTTGTCTTTCATGTAGCTTAGTATAATCTATCTCAATAACTTTTCACTAAAAAATAATCAGTAAACAAGATAGACTTGATTTTAATATTACGCCTACTTTTATGCATCGTAACTAATGGAAAATTTAAACGAGCCGCTACAAAGAATCAAAATACTCTGGGAAAATTAGTTAGGCTCTTTCTGACCATAATTATAATGACTTCAAACTTTGTTACTATTATTGCCAACATCAAGATCAAAAGTCGTCATTTAAATTTTCTGATAAAAGACACAACTTTAAGCACTTCCGATACCATAAAGTAATAAAGGTTAAAAATGGATTTACTGACGTTATGATTAAATAATCGGTTGATTTGTATACATTGGTTTACTTTGAAGATTGTTTCCATTATTGACAGACCACATCTAAAGAATGGTTGGTAGTTAGGGAACACTAAATAGTCACTTTGCTCTAGTTTGAGATTTCTCAACGGTTCACACCTACAACGCAACCGGGGATCAAGCAAAAGAACTTACAGCCTTGTAGTAACATCATCTATTTAGACCTTAGGTTAGAACACAGGTAACCATCCACTTTCAAAGTTTTTTGTCAACGTTTCTCATAAATAGTCTTTAGAAAAATTATCACCGTCTATAACTTTATAAAAAGATGGCATTTGAAGCGAATGGTATTGGATTTGATTCCCGGAGAGAACATCAACTCTGAGATGCAGACACATTGAGCTGAAGAGTTTCAAATAGGACGAAACGCGCGTCATGGATTCCACTGCTAGCCACTATGCATCTTTGCTTAAAAAGACATTGGTTTCTCTCATATCGATATGAAGAAATCATGTATAGAGATCTCAATCCGTTTTAGTATCTCTGATATATTACCTATTTTATTATCCAATGAGCTACTACTAACATGATCTCTTCGTGAGTGTACTATGAAGAACCTAAATTGGGACAAAAAATTGGCTGATTTACGTGGTATGTTTAATCTACAGGTAGAAAAAAGTGTTCACTTAATAAGTTTAATAATACCTATCTTTACTCTATAGTAACAAAAAGATAACTTTTTCTAATAATTTAAAATATTTTGAGCATTATACAAGCGTATTTCTGTTGCGCTTTTCATGTGATGTAAATCATTCATTGTTGAATTCTAGGTAGAAATTAAAAGCAGTTTTCTTGGTTCCAATTAACTCGTTCGAGTATTATAGTTTAACCGTGATAATATATATATATATATATATATATATATATATATATATATGCATATTTATTGTTCGTTTGTTTGTTCATATACGTTTCAAATTACCGACCATTTAATTTGATTGAACTATTATCTATGAAAGTATATATTATAGAAGTAAAATAAACCATTCATTCACAATCTGAAAAGTTAATGCTTCAGTCTGTTCACTGAAAATAATAAGAAATTATTCATAGACAATAAAACAGTATGTTTTTTATCTTATAAAATCACAATTAATTTATGATAAGTATTAGTAAAATCCTCTAGTAAATATTCGATTGTTTATTTTATTTTATTTTGAATTTGATATAAAATATAAATTAGACATTCACAATACAATTTTTTATTTTTAATTTAATTTGGAAGTTATTTAATTGTATTGAAGTATATTTCAAATGTGAATGGAACTATCTAATTTTTCATTTAAATAGTAACGCTTACTAGAATCAACAAGTTAAACCATTTAAACTCTGCCCTCCAAGTTCAAAGATATTCAATTAGAAGAGTTATAACGCCTAATGGTAAAAGTCGTAACTTTACGGAAGCCATGAGGCCGACACCCCTTCCAACAATCAGAGCAACAATTAATGTAAATACGTGGAATGTCCGGTTAATGCAGGAGATTGGGAGGATCAATCAAATAGCTACGGAAATGAGGAGATACAACTTGACAGTGTTCGGAATCAGTGAAACTCCTTGATTCCAAGCTGAACAGAAAAGGATAGATTTGTGAGAGGTGCTACTGTACTTTGGTCACGAGGAAGAAAATTCTCTGCACACTCAGGGAGTTACCCTGATGCTGCCCACATCAGAGTGGGCATTTTCAATACGAACGTCAAGAAAGTTCTACTGTACGGAGCTGAAACTTGGAGAACCACCACAACCATCATCAAAAATTTACAAGTATTTCTAAACAGTTATTTACGCAAAGTCAATGAATATTTTCTGCCGGAACTGGCACTTCGTGAGACTAATATCTTTGCACTTACTGACCACTTTGTAGAAATAAATATCAGGTTATCCAGTCCTTGTTACTGATCAAACTCCATAAATGGACGCTGTTTTATTTAAAATACTACACTGCCATCAATACTGGATCATTAGACGTTTTATACTGAAATCTTCGTGTTCATTAGTTCATCAACAAATAAAATAGTAATGGTAATAAATTAAACTTAAAATATGTCTCTATTAGGCATTTGAGAATTGACTTCCTTTCGTTACTCTTTTTCAAGATATTTACCATAGAATTAAACACTCAAAATTAATTAATTTCTAAAATAAAAAAGATGAGAGAGTACTTTTATGTGATTAAAGTGCAGTTTTGTCAACTGAACACAAAAAAGTCGTATTTATGCACTAAACCATTGACTAAGTCACATGAATAAGCTGCCAATTGATAATGGTGATCAAACTTTACAAAACGCTTTTCAAAAAGTTTAAACAAACGATTATCACTAGTTTGATGGTACACCAATTATTTTTTTAGACATCTCAAGAATGTCACAGTATAAGATTACTATTATCATTACTATAACATAACTTAATGATAGATATATCTATCTAATTCACTGAAACCTTTGCGGCCCATGTAAAATGTTTAAAAGAATTCTGAATCGGAAAAGCAATAAAAAACCATCGAGAATTGGACAGTTATGTGAACCTATGTCAAGATATATTATAATTTATTTAGTGAAATAAACAGAATATTCAACAGTTGCCTAATATTATTTCTCTATTTAAATTGAAATAACCCCTATGTGCACAGATGTTCACACCTTGATCATAAAAGAAAAGACGAATAGTGTATAGCATGGAAAAATAATTGACTAACTACTTGCAATTAAAGCTTTTTTTTTTCAATAAATAACCTAATAAATTCAACACAGCAAACAAGTAAGAGTTCATGTACGTGGTAGATACATTAGGTTTCATAGAATTAGCCTAATAATTAGACCAAAATATATTAAACGTAGTTCAAAACCTGAAATCTAGTAGTAGGGTGTTAAGTAACTGCATTCCTTAAATTTGAAACTACTTTTTAACTAGAACAAACTAGCAGTCAAATAATAATACGTATCCTTTAGGCCAAAGAAGCTGTATATTTTACTTTGATATAGCTACTCAACGATTCGCTTCAAATTACTTATATGCTAACACATCAGTGAAGTACAACAGGTAAGAATTTATTAATAAAATACTTCAAATCCCGGTGATTAGTTAATAGTAAAGACAAAAAATAAGTTTTGGAAAAAGGGAAGTGTGTTTATATCTAAATGATAGATTATATTTTAAAAGTATTAGCAATAAAACAAATCATTATAGGAAATCATTTCAAAGAAAACAAGATATCTTAAAAATGTATACATAGTAAAGTAACAAAAAATAATCGAATAAATTTAATCTCGTCAGTTAACTGAACAGTTCAAAATCGTACTTGCTGAGCACGTAGTACGTATTGCATAAGTTTCGAATGTAACTGGTCCAAACCAATTAAATGTACAATATGTAAAAGCCTGTGTGAATTGATATACAAATTTGAATTTGTTTCTTTGAGTATTTTGTTATTTGAGCTGAAAGATTCTTTTGTATCACATAGTTCGGATTGCAGAGATTGATTCTGCACCAATAATTTTTTATCTGGTTGAGCAAGTATATCAGATGTGCTAAAATCCTTACTATCGCTTAGTTGTTGACCAGAGTATGATTCTCTAGACTTTATATTTAAACCTAAATTTTCATATTCGAAAGTAAAACCAGTCCAAGCTTCAAAGGCAACTTTCAAACGTTTAATGTGGTTGTGACCTCCGGGAAACTGTTTTTCCAAGGATTCGATCATAATATCAGAGAAACCAATTTTTTGAAGTAGACTGTGAGTGTTTTCTTTTGGAAAGTTGTTGATGAGTATTTCACACAGGGACTTTAATACAAATTCTATATGTTAAGTGAAAAATCAATTGCGGAAAAACCAAAATGTAATTTTTTTGTAATTAGGAATTAATACTGTCCTGGCAGTAGCTTTTATTACAAACAGATTTCCCTTTAAGAAGCAACAAATAGGTATGGGGTAGTGGATAAGTAATGATTAGTATAATTATCGACCTTTTCCGAGATTAGACAAGAAATATCTATAGTTTCGTAGTGGATAGATTATCACTAAGGTGTTAAGTATGACTTCCTGAAATTTAGACTCCGTAATACTCTTATCCGAGGGTTTATCAAATGAAATCAGCCTACCAATAAAAAGTTCTTAAAGAATGTTGTAGAAAACATATTTAATGTTTCTAATAAGAAGTAAACATCCATTTAATAACAGACGGATCAGCAACACGAACACTATATATCAATATATGAACTCGATTCATATTAAATACACTTAATGGTATAATAATTGAACTAACTACAGTAATTAATACTTTATATACCACACACACTATTTCTTATGTAATTACATTGCATTATTTGTATCCCAAGAAAAAATTAAGTACATGTAAACAAAGAAGCCAAACCACAAAAGTATTAGTGAAAGTTACTTTAAACAGCAGTTAAAAAGAATGCCAACATGATTGGACCAACATTAATACATTTTTAGTGGTCATAGAAACGTAAGGAAGGAATGTACACACATCAGTGTAACCAACTGTGAAGCATCACATAATATTCGCAACAACTGTGAAACTTAATGTTCCGTACACAGATAATCTCAAAGTTTTTATAGGTTAGAAGAACGTTATAGTGTGACAATTTTCCTGAACATACACTTAATACCACTAAGAGAATTACATTTGGAATGAATTTGTAAGCCCGTACAAGTTCATAGTATATTTGAATGACTTAGGATTCTTACTGACACTTACGGTGTATAACTTATTTGTCATCATGCTATTGGATGTGTCGCGTCGGTCATATTAAAGATGTAGTTTTCGAATTCATGCATCAAAAAAATAAGACCGCTCAACTCAAGATTTTTTTACTTTATACATTAAAAAGTGTTAGATCTGAAAATGAGACAAAACTTTCATTTTGTAAAACTTATCCAAACACTAATTTTTAATCCCATTCTTAAGCAGAGCCATCTGTTTCTTTTTGCGAACCTTTTGTGGTCCAGATGATGAATATGAACCTTCATATATTTTAAAATATTTATTACCGTGATCTCTAAGCAAGGATGGCTGAACAAATACCTAAATGACTGTAAAAACAAATGAATTGCAATGGTTAAATAAGATCACAGGATAAACAAACATCTCTCTTCATCGCCAAACATTTGGTTGAGATCGGTCATTAAGTTGATATCAAGTCGGCCTTTATAGTTTTGTACAAAAGCATTTAAGGGCATATACCAAGGTTTAGTGAATCCTTGAATATGCAAAAACCGAAACTGTTTATGCGTTCAAAAACAATTTTATTTCATCCTTAACCTACCTTGGTAACAGTGATTTATTATTCAGTGTGGTTTTCACGTTTTTGTGTAACGAATTATTATTTGCATTCGCTCACCTTTTAGTTGTCTAGTTAACCCTTTATTTTTCATATAAAAATGTCCTAACAAGTATGTGTGACCAGATTGTTCGAGATGTATTGCACAAATATGTTACATTAGCTTGGTAACCTTTGTCCGCTTATTGTACGATCAAAATTTCTCAAAAAGATAAATTGTTTTATGTGAGGAAACAGTTTGGTTTCTATAATTTATAGATCACGTATCGGAATCTATCACGGCATTCTGAAGGAGTAAATTTCATTACAAGTGCTTACGTAAACAAGACTCCTAAAGATTATTAAGGAACGCATGTTATGTATAGTATTCCCCAGTTCAGTCACATATTTTCTTCACAAACAATTTGTCACAATATATTTCACTAATTTTCACTTTCTACTTTCGCTTATTTTACTTCTAAAGTGAGTTTTTAAATTCAGTAAAAATGTGTCTACTGATTAATCATTCATAAGCAATGTAGAACCTGGCAAATGTATACACTGGCCCAAGTTGCCACACAACATTAACACAACGAGATGAAATTATTAATTTCAATATCAAAGTATTAGTAGTAGTATCGGTGCCAAAAAAGCACCTACGTAAAACTTCTGTAAGTATGATGTAAATATGAACGCCAAGTGTTTACTAAATTGGTTCTTGACTATTTTTCTAAAGGCGTTCACGTTGTTCGAAAGTTTATCTGATATAGTACTATTCAGGGTGACTTTACACATTATATTTCTCTATAAGGAGTAAGTCAGTCATCATCAACTTATTCACTAGATAGCAGCTCCCATGATCTGGTGTTATTATAGGAATTGTTACATAGGCTTGTTCCAGAGACTTATCTAGCTCACCATTTTGGTGTGGTTAAGCATCATAACAAGCATGATGAGTTATGGTATGTTATACCACAGTGAAGAGATAAAAAATGATATACGTTATGGTAAACAACTACGATTAGCACAGTCACCTTGCTTTTAAAGTCACCTAGAAATCTCATACAAAACTTTACTTACGAAGTTACAGTACTTACCATCAAACGTTTTGTAGTTTGTTAGGTAAGAGTACACTGAAAAAAATCTTTCTTCGCCAACTTCCACTGGAGGATACAAAAGTGGATTCTGATCAAGAGTCAATATTTTCAGGGTTCTCAAGCTTCGAATGTTTTGATCCAGGTAGTCAATGTTGTTATTGTGCAGATATAAATGTGTTAAATACTTGGACCTGTGTAAATTTGGAGGTAGACATCGTAGACGATTATGACTGACGTTTAGTCGCCGTAACATCATATTATGAAATACGTCAGGTAACATATACAACCCATTCGATTGAAGGGATAAATGAACCAGATGTGTAAGATTTCCAATCATTGATGGCAAACCTTTGGCAGCTGATGTTTCTGACAACGTATTTCCCGGTAAAACAGCTCCTACATTTTCCTCGGAATTACTTTCGTATTCTGAATCAAATGAGTCTTTTATTTCAGGACAAAGTAGTAGGCTTTTTTGATACCATCCATTAGGACATTCTGGAGGTAGCAGTGGTCTGCCTTCCGTTTGATCATAGAGAAGCACACGAAGTCTTGGTATGGAGCAAACAACCAACGGAAAATGGTTGAAGTCATTATCTGAGAGATTCAAATACTTGAGTGATTCCAACTTAGATAGAGTTTTTGGAAGAGATGATAACTTATTTTTAGAAACTTTAAGTGCACAAAGATTCGCACACGATCCTAAGCCTTCAGGCAAAGACTTCAGTCGCCTGCAGTCTGATATAGATAAATGAGTAAGTTCCTTTAGGTTGTTTATTTCATTTGGAACTTCTGAAATAGGATTAGCATCCAAGCACAAATACGACAAACGGCTTCTTTTACAGAACAGGGACATAGGAATGACCTCAAATTCATTATGACCAAGATCTAACTGCCGAAGTGTGTTTGACAATCTCTCAAAATCCTCTGGAAGCGAACTTAATTTGTTAAACTGTAACTCCAAAACTACCAGATTGTTTAGTTCGCAGATTGAAAGTGGTAGAGTGGAAATAATATTAAACGCTAGACACAAAGAAGTTAACTGAGGAAAACTGAGACTTTCGTTAGCCAGTTTCCCTATACCGTTTTCGCTAAGATCAAGAATAACAAGATTCGAACACAAACTAAGATCATCAGGAACAAATGATAAACCACATTTCGATGCAGAAAGTTGCTGAATTTGAATGAGTTTTCCAAACGCAATTGTGGAGAATTCCACTGGATTACCACTAATATCTAAGCACTCCAAAGATTCTAGCTTTTTTAATTCTACTGGAAAATCAATTACTCTATTGTATGCTAAATTCAAAGTACGCAAATTAACCAGTGAGCATATTTTAGCTGGAATACTGCCCTCTATTATATTATGAGATAAACTCAGTTCTAACAAAGAAATACAACTAAAAATTTGCAGAGGAATATGATCAAAAACATTTCCATCAAGTTGTAAAAGCAGTAAACCAGTTAGATTCGAGAAAGAGCGAGGAAGGGTCGAAAGTTTGTTATTCGTTATACGTAAAGCCGTGAGAACTTTTAGACACCCAATCTCCTCCGGAAGACAAACAATTTTGTTGAATGAACAAGAAAAAGTTTTTAATCTTCCAAGCTTCCAAAATGAACGTGGGAGTTCAGTTAACTTATTTTCAGTTACATCAAGAGACTGTAGGTGTGATAATTCACATATAGCAGTGATATCCACCAGATAATTTTTCGAAACATTAAGCAGCGTAAGTGACGTCAAGTAAACGATGTCCTCAGGTACACTGCTCAAACAATTGTTCGAAATATCCAGCAATGAAAGATGGCTGAAAGAAGAAATGCAGATTGGAAACAAAGTCAATGACAATTGATTAAGGATAAGTATTTGCGCATGCTTAAACCTCGATAACTGTTGGGTGAATTGTGAAATTTCAGACTGCTGTATTATCAGAATGCGAATATCACTGTCATCGTGACGTTTTGTGGTTATGACATTTGTCTTGATCCCTCTAATGAAAATACAGCTTTTTCCACCATAATTGCACTCTGTTATTCCTCTTCGAGAGGGAATGCTTAAAATAATCCTAATTTAAACTGAATCCTTACTTATCAATGATATGTTTCCGAGTAAAGTCCCAATCCTCCATTTTAAATTTCCGGGAAAAACAATAAAATATATTTCCGTGTAATTGAAACTGACTCAAACAACAGCGGGAGTAATATGGAAGAATCCAGTCTAAATATTTCTAGGCACCACTGTGTATGGGTAACTTGAAATATATGTGTTGTATATATACGTGTGCTTGGTCATCTGACATCCGTTGTTCGACTGCTTTCCAGTATTAATTAATATGCTATGTCAAATCTGAGTCATCACCAGAGCGTTTGAAAGATGATTCATGGTTAAAAGGATGGATTTTTAAACCATGTTCTTTGTCGTAATTTAAGCAATCGTGTACAAAATGCGAAGATTGTTATTACAAAGTTCATACAAATCTTATAACATCAACATGTAAAAGGTAAATCATGGCAGAATGTTCAGGGTTACAGATATAAAGTGATATCTAAAATATGTAAACCTGTTAGCCTTCGATATTGATGGTGACCGAAATAGATTAAGTGAACAACACCTAGTTGGAGGCACTCAGTCAAGCATCCACACAAGATCTCATTTGGGTTATGAGTGCCTCGAATCCCCCACAAAAACTAGCCAGCATAGATCGTTTACTACTGGACGTATCGATCATCTTCCAAACACGTCCCCTAACTCCTTTATCTCTGGATTTAAGATTAACAATTACATTGATGTTGTGGACAATAGAATTGTCAGACACTGTATATTCGAGACATCGTAAAGACTTTTACGAGATCTTCATACATATTAATAATGTTATGTCCATGCATGTTTTTCCTCATGACCATTCCCTTGTTGTCCCGTAGTATGTATTGTTGCTTCTATTGTTGCTCGTAGTTTGGTATGCTTGTTTATCTTTTTGCTCAACCTGAAATTATTAATACCATACAGTTTACAAATTCTGAATCCTAATTAATTCCTTGAGGTTGCTGGGTATTTTCGTGGTTGTTTTATACTCCTCTTAATTTGATACCGTTTTCTGGTGATTGCCATATTGAATAGCTGTGTTTTAGTTGTTGCTTTATGTGTTAACTGCTTCTGTTCCATATTGCTAGCCTTGAAGAGTATGCCTCTTGTTATTATTAACTGGTGTCTGCCCATCATCGGAGAAAATTGATCCACACTTTTTCCTTTGGCTGAACATTTTTCTTTGGGTGATAGGAATATTTTTCTGTTGTGATAGTAGGGTTGTGTCGATTGCCTACACCCGTTGAAAACGTATCGTTCAGTACCTCTTGTGTACTCTCCTGAACGTCCGTCACGTTATTGAGAAGTCATTTGACTTGCCATAACCCTGATCGATATGCTTACATTTGAAGGAGTGTGTTGTATGGGATTCAATGCCTTCTTAATAGCACAAACGATAAGGTGCGATTTCACTATCTGGACGCAAAATATGTTGAGTGGTAAGTTTATGTACTCTTCAAGCAATAGGTAGCCTAGTATCAAGCGTGTCGTATCTAGTGCCTGTTCATTATCAGTTGAATAATTTCTTAAGGGCGTCTGATGTTACTAGAACGGTAAGAAAAATACCCATTGCTCTTTACGTCCCGTTGTTGCAATTTTACGCATCATATAGATAACTGAAGAACAGGGAATTTGTTTATGTTCGAAATGGTATACAGTAGATCATAGCATCAGGACTCAAGTTAAGTACTGTAGGTTTTTTATTATGGTCTGATCAATTGCTTACTATCTGGTATCTGTTGAGTAGTTATACCATCAAATAAATGTTAAATTTTCGACCCGGTAAATTTAGCAACATAGTTTTCCCATGGTGATTTCGACTTCAGTTCCATGCGTGAACTTACATATTGTTAGAGAATCACGTAGTCAGTAATTATGTGGCAACATATGAGTAGCTTTGTAGTATCTCATTCCAAATTAATAAGACGCGCCTGGAACTAGTGGACAGGCACCTGTTCTTTACTTTGGGAACCGTTTCGCTAGTTAGCAATTCGTTTCGGACCCAGGTAGCGCATCTATACCCTACATAAAAGGCACTTGCTTACAAATTAATGTCATCGGGATAACTTGCCGAGAACATAATTACGACCATAAATGAGTGAGCGGCCGCTTGATCCATAGCCGATCACAGAGGCCTATCAAAAGAAAGTTTGGGGACGTGACTAGTCGAGGCATTTTTGAACTGCGATATCGTATCCATGGACGTTAATAATTTTTCCCTCTTTGAGGAGTGATATTTCGCCAGGATAGATATCCACGGGAAGGGCAACAGCCATATATTGAGAAGGAGTTTAAGCCGATAGACTCGATGCACAAGTTGGACAACAAAATGACAATTAACCTTACGCTTGGAAATTTTCGTCATGCACAACCGAGAATTTGTGTATCTGACAGGCATTACAGATTGGAATACTGGTTAGAATCTGCCGAGAAATTCGAAGTATCAAACGATGGGATCGCTAGGGTAGAGTCATCTCACTCGTGTCGAAAGCGAACCTAAAGACTGTTCGGATCAGCTTTATTGCTGCTATTTTTAACTAACTACCAACTACCAGGCTTTGATACTTCATGCTCGTTAAACATCGTCTACTAAAATGACACACCCACTCCCATCGACACATTATAAAGCCATAACCGACGTTTGACACTACAGAAAATTGACAACAAGGGGATCGGCTAACCTCTTATAGCAATTAAAACTCATAAGCTAACAGCACAAGAAAATAACACACATGGTACCATGTAAATAGCAACAGTGGGATTCAACAAAAGTGAGCAGCGTAGAATTTACCAACGTAATGTAAGTGGGGAACTTATGCAAAGTGAAGCAAATATTTTGACGAAATTAGTAGAAAACCATGCAGAACGTGTTACCTCAACTAGTGTGGTCCCCAAATGTAGCGGAAATGAAAGTCTGGTCATTTGAAGAGGGATCTGATTGATTGCTCGATACACCGTTAAAATTACGGAAGGTAGTTGCGGATTCCTCGTCAAATCTATTCAGTATGTCGCTTCCACAAGTCCGGCCACAAGGAGATCGATAGGGTGTCATCTCCAGCCTCTCTTTGGGGACGGAAATAGATAGTTCGTATGAAACTAATGTTTCATCAGCTTTGCAGACATAGTGTTTAGAGCACTAGTAACATTGACACTTACATTCACTTTTGACTGGGTTATCACACGTGGTTTTTGGATGGACTCGTCTTTGCTAGAGGGCGATTGATCAACAATAATTCTGGATCACAATCGAGTGCGTCACGCTGCGCACTTCTAGTCGGTTCAGAGCCTATACATCTCCAAACATCGATAATTATTCAAGAGTAAATCTTTGCTTCAGGTCGTTCTTGATTTTTAATTTGCCTGGTTGTACGATCGTTAAACAAGGTGATATTTTGGATTGTAGTTCTATGAAACAGCCTCGTAAAGTGATTTTGTGCTTTCTCGATTTTCTGCCGATCTAGAAAATGCATACATTCGAATATGATTACACAGCATTCCACTAGATATTGACCTCACCTCACGGAGTATCCTTTTGAATTACTTATATTGGAAGTTATGATTGATAAACCCCACAAACCTATGGGGCTTGGAAACTCAAGATAATACTCGTTTGACGCATAAATGACTTTCTGAATGATTCATTCCTAAAACGATTATGGCACTTCGTTGTCTAAATTTATCTAGATCTTCGTTTAATACACAGCAGATATTATGACTGGAACTTAAATGGAATGTAAATACCACCTTTATGTCGACAGGAGATATCAAGATTACGTCAATTGAAAGGCAGTTGCATACATATTCTACACCGTGAAAGAGAGAGGTCTAATTATCGAGCCCTAGAGGACACTGCTGGGGATGTCCCGAGGATTGAAGATGTATTGCTTTATTTTCACCATCTGGGTTCGGTACTTTGAAAAGCGTGTTATACAGTTATGCATTTTATTTGCCATTCTAAATGGCTTTAATGTAAGTAGTAAAGATGAGTATTGCACTTTCGCAAACGCCTCAGTGAAGTCAAAGTATAGAGCAAAAAGTAATTTCCCTTGACCCCTATTTTTCACCATGTAATCAAAATATTATAAATGACAGGTTACGTGTAACTGTTGAAAGTGAATTCATGATGCGATGAAATACTAAACCAGTGCCTGTCCGAATGACTGTCAAACACCGTTGTAATAACCTTCTTCAAAGTTCTAGGCAAGACGGATGTGTAGTTAATCAGATGTTATTTGTCTCCGTCTAGTCTAGATCCTCTTTTAAAGTATAGAACAGTGTATGCAGTTTTCCACTGCCAAAAGAAACTATCTGTCTCGGAAGGGGGATGAAGAATTTCAGTATGGAGAATGTGAATGTCTGAACCACTAAATCTAGTCAAACTGATGGGCAATCCATCATATTTACTTCTGAAAGTAGGTTTTAAATGTCTCATTGCAGCTCTCACAATACTCAGTGGAAATTCTATGTCTTCTGATGCATGTATTGAAAATGATGGTTGTATATACATACTACCTAATTTCAGTGAATGTCTGAGCAGATGTGCCACCAAGCGTCCCGTATGGCTCTTCTGAGTCCCTTATAGGTTCGGATTGACCTTTAGGGTGGCGGGGATATCAGATTGAACATAAAGTTTCTTCTTGAGAGCAGCCGCCAAAATCTATTCTTGTTCTGTGAAATGAAAAACCTCTGTTCAGCTCCTAACTCCTTTGTTCGACGAAAGCCTTTAAAATTGACAGAGACCGATAAGATATTGAGGACACCTAGAAAGTTGTGTCGAACGACCCATTAGGTTGTAGATGACAGATGGCATATTGAAATCGTCACCTATTTACCTAGTTACGGAAGTTCATGGGAAAGGTGTAAATATTTCATCTGAATGTGTATCCATTACGTGAGCTGAACTTGGTGGTCTACCACTACAATCGATTGTAAACTGATCATGGACACAATTACCACACTGACAAATATAACATTATTCAACAGTTCACATATATTATCCAACCATATCTTTGCCTAAATTTTGATGTTAACAGTACATTTGGTAACTATCTT